TTTGCTTTTTTCCAGTTGGTTGATTAGGTTTGTTATTCCTACCAAGAAACTCCAGATCTTTACACTGAGTGGCAGGGAACTGAGTCTCTCAAGGTTTGTTAAAAGAAACAGCTTCCACTGCCTTCAGTTGTGTCTTTCTGGCAGAGAACATGAGTTGTTGAGGACTGCCTGTGAGGAGGAGAGATGATGGGAGTGGACACCTGCCCAGCCTGCCTGCCCTGCTCTCAGCCTGTGGGGTTGGGGTTGACAGGAGCGCTGTAGCTGGAAGCACAGCGCCAGCAGTAGCTGGGTGATGGTATTCATGGCGTGGCTCTGGCTGTCCAGCTGTTCAATCTCCAGTGCCTGCAATGAGGAGCACCACAGCAGCTGCAGTTCCTGGCTGGGCCTACTTTGGAGAGAAACACTCAGGGCTGAAAGCCTGGTAGCAGCCCGCATTTCTGAGCTTCTCCTAAGGAAAGGGGCAGTTTCTAATGCCTGTACCAGAGATCTGCCTGGCCAGACAGGCTGCTGCAGAGAGCAGGAGGTGGCACGGGGGCTGTGTAGGTCAGTGTGGCAGGTGACAGGAATGTTGCTGTACATGGCTGAGTGCATCCCAGCAGACTTGGCACTTCCCCTTCCCCTGGGACACAACCTTTCTTCCTCTCCCTGGCTCTTTTCTGTCTCAGTGCTGGGAAAAGCGATGGATCTGCTGGGCAGAGATAAGAGCGCTCTTTGGGCAGCAACTTCTGTCCTATTTCTGTTTCTTGCAGTATTTTTAACTCTTAGCACAGCCAGAGGAGAGCTCCAGAGTGTCATGTGCCTAACGGGGCAGGACTGACCAGCAACACTGCCGCGCTCACAGGGAATCAGGGGCTGCTGGAAGGAGAGGCGTTTGCCTCTTACCTCCAGTCCAGGGAGTGCTACTGTGGGATGGGCCCTTCTGCTCCTTTGGCTGCCAGCCTAATTTCTCTGTTCCCATTCTCCATTTGTGTCAGTTCCCACATCTCTGGCTTTTTACAGTAGATCTCCCTGTGCACAAAGCACAGTATTGTCCAGGAATACCCAAACCCTAAATTCTGTTTATTGGTGCTGTGTTTCTCTGATTCTCCCTGTTGAGCTTTAGAGCTCTGATCAAGGCTTTTCCAGGAGATGCACAGGCAGGTTCCAGTTATTCCCTGTATGGAGCCTCTGATCAACCAGAGCATGGGCTGCAGAGGAAGGAAAGAGATCCTGACACTGTGGAAGGACAGAGCAGGAGTGGAAGCCCACTGGCAGGAACGTGCAAGCTGAGTAAGAGCCGTGTCCAAGGCAAGTCTCTCCTAAGCAGCCTTCTGCAGCCTTGGGAGTCAGGAAGTGAGGATAAGCTCAGCAGGACAGGGGTGCAGGCAGCTCTTCTGGCTCAGTGTTTTTTTCTTTCCTTCTCTGTGTCAAGCTCATAAGGGACAGTGGAAGTGCCAGCCTAGGAGAGGGAATGGGTTCAGCTTGTCTTCAGTAACATGCCCAGTAACAGATGCTTAAAGAGGAAATACAGCCTTTTTCCTGCAGTGCGTTTGCCTGAGCAATGGAGTAGTCTGAGGTAGGAGCTTTCTAGAGGTTTTCTGGGGTTGGTTTGCAGCTGCTGGAAGCAGGGGGAATGCTGAGTTCTCAACTTTATCCATGCTAGTGTAACTGGAAGCACTTTGCAGTACCTGTCCCCTCTCTTTTCTCACAAGTCTTACCTGTTAGGATGTTCTGTTACGTTTGAGCCCTGTTTAGCTAGAGATAGTGCTCTTTAAAATAGATTGATTCCCAGGGAAAAAAACAACAATAACAACAAAACTCCAGACCTTTACTCTTTAGCATGTGCATGCATTAGCATGCGTGCTGGTGAGAGCACAGTGTCTGGTCACAGGCAGACAGGACTGCCTGAGTGTGCATCTGCCTTGTCCCTCCAGGTGAGGGAAGTCTCCATCAGCTCAGTGCACATGGCTCCTAGATCAAGTTAATAGTGGCAGCTGAGTTCTCTACAGTGCTGAACTCTTCAGCTACCAGCTGGCAAAGACGGTTTGAGCTGCTCTTATTCAAAACACATAGGAGTGTGAGGCTCTACAGCTTCTACAGATGGGCAGAGGTACTGAGATCTATGTCCTGTATAGAAGGTTCCCTGCCCAGAGCATCAGAGTTGGGGGGCTGCCTGGAAGTGGATTAGATTGATTTTGGAGGGCATCAGGGTCCTGGACTGGCTTAGAAGGTGACACCTGTTTATAAATGAGGGCTGTTTTGTACTGTTGCACTGAGCTGCACAATAAGCTGAGAAGATAGACCAGAATAAGTGCAGCTCAGCCGTTTGATTTTGGCAGTGAGAAGTGTGGATAGGAAGGCAATCTAACACCTCCCCCTGCACACAGCTTCCATAGTCTCCAATGCAACCCCTGCACCCCCAGGTACGTTCTCACACTTCTGCCAAGCTTTGCCCAGCCAAGCTAGACACAGCAGGGGCTGCATCCTGCTCAGCAGAGTGGTCTGTCCTGTTGGTAACACCATCTCAGCCCATCTGCCTGACTGGGGAAGGAGCCGTGGCATGAACTCCTCGTGTGCTGCCGCTGTGCTGGCCCTGCCTGTGCGGTCCTTCCTGCTGCCTCCCCGCATGCCTCCTGCTAGAGAAGGAGGGGCTCTCACTTCTTGTGCTGTGCAATGGCATTCCCTGCTCCTTCTCACAAACCCAGCCGTGCTTGCTGTAACACTGGCTTGCTTCTACCATATGACTTCCTCACCCTTCTCTCCACTCCTAAGCTCTTTGTTTCCCATCTGTCATGTTAGGTTATTATAATATATTTTTTTGTAAATTTCTGTTTGAACATTTTGTCATTGTGGAGAAAAAAAAAAAAAGAAACCTTTTAAAACATATCCATTTTATTAAATGATCATTGTTATTATTAATAATGTTTACTACCTGAACTGATCAGTGAAATAAATACATTCAAAAGAACAACCTATTTTTGTTTGACTTTCAGTCTTGTTCAGCAGCATCGATGATGCATTATGGACAGGAGAGGACAGAAGGACTGTTTGTCCTTGTATTCCGTTCCGTCGGAGCAGGCTGCAGGCAGGCACGTGATTTCTGGACTGTGCTTATGTCAGAGGCTAGACAAGCCGATCCCGAAGTTCTCCTACTTTTAAGCTTCCCCTCAGAAGCTGTGTAAATTGGCAGCGGGTGGCTTGGTGGGATCCAGTCCCAGGAAAGTAAGTAACCAAAGAAGCGCTGCTGTGTCCATGCTGTGTGCAGAGCCAGCCAGGCTCCGTGCCACACCTGGCCTGAGAGCTGCTTGTGAGAGAAAGTAGCACTCAAATGCATGAGGTGTGGACGTGCTGAGCAAACTTGCTCTGTTGTAGCTGAGCTTCTGCCAGGTAGAATGCAGGAAAAAGTGGGTTCATTTGTTAGCCCTGGATCCCTTTCCTACTCTGTCTGCCTGCCACAGTGAAACAACTGGAATGATCTGCTCCAACCTACTAGAAATCTAAAGGTTAATTATTTTGTTTAGAGCATCACAAATATACTATGCCTTGGTTAGGGCCAAATTCTACTTTTGTTTGCAGCCCAAACTGTCCTCATATCAGTGTTCATTCTGAGTGTTTCACATTCCGAAGCTGAGCAGAAACAAGAAAGTAATTCTGGTGGCCTTAGCCTCTAGCATAGCCAATGCTTAGAGTCTGGCCTATGGGAGAAAAATGTCTGTGAAAGTGTAAGAACCTTGACAAGATAAGATGCTGCTGAAATGTCCTGAGTATATTTTTGACCCTTGTACATAAGTTGAACAAATGATTGTTCAAGTATTTAAATAATGCAACTTCTGAATGAAGGATGTGGTCAGGTTTTCTCAGTAATGCTTGCTGAGTGCTGACAACTCACTTAGCCTATCAAAAGAGCAGACCCTTGGAGCACTATCTTCCCCAGCCTGTCATCCTTCCTGTGGAGCCAGTTAACTTTATTTTGGTGCAGACAGTGAAATGACAAGAGCTGTGTGTTACCTCTAGCAGTCAAGAGAGGATGGAAGCACTCGGAGGACTTTCTCCTTGGCTCAATGACCAACACCAGCAGGATCACTGGAGAACAGTTTCTTTCAGCTGATGTCCCACTGCTTATTAGGAGTAGACCTGTGTCACTGTTTGAAGAGAAACGTCAGGGAAAACACACTGATCAGTGCTAGGGATCGCCACTCTGCAAACGTAGCCTTTGTGATAAAATGGAAACCAAAGACCATAAAGCTCAGGGACTGCAGTACAATTTGGTAACATCAGCTTCCAGGTTTAAGTGCATTTGGAATTACTACTTTTCTCTTGAGACTTTGTGTTGTTTCTGTTGGAATGGTGTCCTCTTTTACCTCCTTGTTTGGTCTGCATGGTTCTATTAGCTTGTTCCAAATGGCCAGTGGATAAAGCAGGGCACTTGGAAGCACTGGATTCCTGAAGGGTGCGTATGAATGCATTAGCTGGCTGTCAACTGGGCACAGCTAACAGCTGTGCTTTTTTTTTTTTTCTTTTGTATTACCAAGAGCCAAAGGCTCCAAACTGAGAAAACGTGGAGGAAGCCCTTCTCAGCCACTTACAGTAGTGAGAGGCAGTCTTCACCCTGCAGATATTTTATCTGTACAATAAGGAAGCATCCAGGCGCTGTAGTTTGCTGCCATACCTGAATTCAGTGCTCCGTTTGGCTCCTTGTTACCCAGAGCAGCATTGCAGTTATTGCTGCTGTCAGCATCTCTGCCAGCAAAAGCATTTTTTGTAGCCAGGCCAGCTCCCACTGCTTGGAAGACTTGCCTAATGAAGACTCTGCTTCCAGTGGCATGCAGCAGACTTGCAGGAAGGCCTCATATGGGAGGTGTCCCTGGGATGAGCCTGACCCTTATCTTGTGAGCCAGCTGCAAGGGGATTATCTGGGAGCTCAGCTATGCAGCTGCAAAAACTGCACTGCCTTAAGACCTTTCTGTTGTATGTACTGTAAAGGCAGAAAGCAAGCAAGGATTGATCTACCTTGGTAAGTCAACCAAACTACCTTCTGCTCGTTCTTTCTTTTCCCCCCGTTTCATTCAGCTGACTGCATGGAAAAACAGTGCCTTGTTGCAGGCATGTGCAGTAGCTCTCTTAAAAAAGTTTGTGTTCAGAGGTGGCATGAGGCTGCAATACCTCTTTTGTATCATTGGTCCTTGCCCCTCAGAAGGGACACAGCTCCAGATTATGTGTCTGCTGGAACAGTGTCTAGTGTAGAAAATTCTGGGGATTTCCTCCCTCAGAGCTCAGCACCCTGTGTTTGCTAAGGACTATTTTATCATGTCTATTCAAAACTGCAAAGACTATTTTAAACTTGTGGTAATAGTACATTTATTTCAAATCTTCTCTTGCAGTTTGCATGAATAAAGCTTTGCTTACAGACGTATCTCAGAGCTATGATAAGTTTCATGTTCTGATGACTTCCTGTCATCAGTTTTCTTGGCAAACCTAGTAATGCTTCTGCAGCAATGCTGAAAGTATCAGCAACTCTTAAATGCTTCTGAAGATGAGTGGAAATTAACTCAGTGGCAGCAGCTAAATCCAGCATCAATCAGCTCATAACCCCCTCAGGGCTGGAAAGACCAGGAGTATTCCTGCTCCTGTGATGAGAGACCAAGAGTTCTCACAACACCTTTTTTAACTCTGTTCTTTTCAGATCTCTATAGCCTTACAGATCGTGGTGTCTACTTGCCTGACTTCCACCTCACCCACTCTCACTGGGGGAGGTTTGCAGGTGAAGATGAACAATAGGATCCTCTTCTTGTCCCTCCTTGGCTTCCTCCCATTCGTGATACCTACGTGCCCTCCACCATGCAAGTGTGCCACCAACATTATTGACTGTATGTCCAAAGGCCTAACTGTAACAAAACTACCAGTGGCTTTCCGGCCGTCGGCTGAAATTATCAACCTCAGTTACAACAGGCTCACCTCTATTCCCAGCGGGCTCTTTGATAATCTGAAAAGCCTCCAAACAGTGCACTTGCAGGGCAACCCTTGGGAATGCAACTGTGACATCCTCTACTTGCGCTCCTGGCTGCAGTGGCAGCAGAACCGGACCTTTTACAGGGATGTGAGATGTGCCTCCCCAGCTCACCTTCAGGACCGGGTCATTGCTTATCTGGCAGAAGATGAGATCATCTCCACGTGCCAGTACTGGTACTGCACCCTGGCTTTCTTCTCTCAACTCATTCTCATCATCCTCCTTTTCCTCCAGGCTATCTTGGTCATATTCATCATTATCTACCTGCAGAGATTTCGGAGAACGACTGCTGAAGCCCGGAGCACCACCTGGGATCTGTATCAGCATGCAGATACCCAGTCCCTACAGGAGCAATAAGAGTTGTAAGAGTGAGGGTCCCCTCTGTTCCGGGTGTTGCTGAGCCGAAATCGGGTGGTGTACGAGACCCAGAGGGGACATTCAGTGCAGCATCTGACCCTGACTGCAGCCCCCAGCAGGACCTGGAACTGATCAGACACTTGTTCTGTTTCTAGGGAGCAGATCTTATGCTTCTTACTGCTTTGAACGCTTCAGCATGGTCTTCATTGCTTTGCTTTTGCTGAATTGCTGAAAGCGGTTCTGTTTCTGCCCAAGGAAACCATAAACTGCATCAAGCAGAATGACCGTGGCAGCGCTCGAGCTGCTGGGGTGCAGTGCTCCATCCATCCGCGCTGGGTATTTCAGCCGTGCTTTCCCTGTGCTCGTGGTCGCTCTGTGTGAGGCCGGGGCAGAGGTGAGCAGTGAGCGGGATGATGGAGGAACGCATCTCGCGGTGCAGAACCGCCTCGCTCGCCCTGGCTGAGCGACAGCAGGTTTCCGCTGCCTCCGTCAGCAGAGCAGAACAGAACGGGTGTTTCTTCCTGCCCGCGTATTTTGTAACCTTCTCCTCGGGCAGCGTTTTTAGCCTCCTGCTGGTTTTTAGTACTGACTTCAACGCGCCCCGCGTTCCCACGGAGCTCCCGGCGCCGCGCGGAGCCGGCTTTGAGCCTCCGCTGCGCTGCCGTGCACCTGCCCGCTGCTGCTCACCGGCCTCCGAATCGTTTTTGTAGCGAAACAATGGAATAAAATAAAGGTGAACTGCGCTGTAAGTGGCGTTTCTCGGCCTCCCGCTCGCGCCTCGCTCCAAGGCAGCTGCAGCTGGGCGGAGGCGCCGTGCCGGGCGCTGCTCCGGCTGCTCGCGCTGCCGAAGGGGCACGAGGCGCCGGCACGCGCCCAGCCCTAACGGCCGCTAACGGCTGCCCTGAGCGGGGCCGCCCGCAGCCTCGTCACGCCTTCGGGCGGCTGCAGGAGAACGGCGAGGCGGAGGAAAGGAGCCGGGCCGCCCGCTGCGATGCGGCCGAGGAGAGGAGCGGCTCCGCCTCGGCGGTCCGTGCCCGGCCCCGGGACGAAGCACCGCGCCGGGCAGCGCCGTGGAGCCCCGAGCGGGGAGCGGCGCGGAGCGGCCGGAGGAGGAGTAGGAGGAGGAGGAGGAGGAGGAGGAGGAGGAGAGCTCGGCGTGAGGTGAGCGCCCCCGGGCGGAGCTCGGCCGTGGCGGCCGCTGCCGTGGAGAGAAGGTGAGGCCCTGACAGATCTCTGCTTGTTAAGTATTCTTGCGTTACTTTTATTATTATGGCTTCTGAGGAATTAACTTTCCATAGGAACAAAAAGCCTGCGTTGGCGGCTGGTTCCTCCCAGGTGTCCTTTTCTATAATCAAGGCTCAGCTGTACAAAGAAATACCACAACCCTCTTGGGTCGGCCGTGCTGCTCCTGGAGCTGTGCTGTCCGCCTTGGTGAAGTCCCACGCAAAGTCTGGGACAAACGGTCTGGTTTCCCAGTGCGGCTGCAGACTGTGCTCGTGTGCCGGAGCGAATCCCCGGGTTTGCCTGCAGATTTTTAGCTGAATTCCCCTGGGTCAGAGGGTGTCGTTACCGGCACCTGGGCGGGCGCTGGCAGCGGGGCTGGGCTGGGAGCAGCTGTGGGAGGTGCTCTGGGGCGCTGGGGAGCCCTCAGGACTCGATGTGCCCACAGGGGCAGAACAACCGTTGCCTTCAGTTTTGCTTCCCGGTGTCCTGACTGTATATCATTAAATTCTGGCACAAGAAAGGTAAAAAGCCCTTTTGGCATCTTTTACACCTGCAAAGAATGTGACCAACCACAGCAGTGTGATAATGAGTTACACTGAATGCAGAGTGATTTGTAGGCCGTGGCAGCATTATAATCCATAAATCTGGAGGCTGCATGCCTTGGCTTCTCCTGGCTAGGAAAGCTGCTCGTCACAGATGCTTTCCTGCCCTGCTGGCCTGAGGAGAGTCTGCTGTGCTGCTGCTGAAGGGAGCTCTGGCTTTCTTTCTAAATGGAGGGGCTGTCCAAGGCTGCACAGTGATCTCTAAGAGAAACTGGTGAAAGAGGGCAAAGGTGGGTGGAGACTATTTAAGCTTCCTTGCAAATCCCTTCATGGTATCAACACCAATTGAACACCCAAGCATGCTAACAGCTGCCAGGCCTGCTGGATGTGCTGCTGCACCATCAGAGATTGGGTGCTTCCAAGCAGCTTCTTTCTTTGAGAGACACTGACAGGAAGAAACAAAGAAAACAACAACAGAAACCGGAACCAAAACTAAAACCAGAAAACTAAACCAAAATGTATTTGCGGTCTGCATGATGCAGAGCTCCAAACCTGAGGTGTCTGAGGCAGGTTAGCACCACCTGAGGAAAGGAGCCAGCGGCTGGTGGGTGACACTGGGGAAGACATGGTGGCTCTTCTCTATTTCCAGCATGCTGGGATTTAGGTGTCTGCAAGGTGATTCATGCATATGTTGTAGAGCAAACAAGTCATGAAAGCAGCAAGCTGATTTTTGAACCTGGAGAATTTTAGCCCCATTTCCCACAGAGAACCACATCTTCAGTCCCTGCTCCTTGTGGTGATAGTGGTTGTGTTTTGCCTCAGGGTTGCTGCAGGTGTTTGCTCACAATTTGATTGGGTTCACATGACATCTGCGACCTTATCCCTGTTGATTTAAACAGACTTTGATGTTTCACCCTCATCTGTGGGATAAAATGCACACACAAAGAACAATTTGTTACCTTCCACTGCATGGCTTGGTCACTGAAATAAATAGACCTGTTCTGTGCAGCAGCCAGAAATGAAGCAGTGCTTGGAGATCCTGTGGAACCAAGTCCTGGAGAAGAATGGCATGTTCCAGTCTCACATTGTCACAGCTGTGTGCGCTTTGTGTGCCCAAGTGAAACACTCAGTAGTCGCCTTGATGGCAGCCTGGTCTGGGATTCGTTGCACTGCTTACAAATTATGAAATACATTCTTCATGGTCATTAATTTGGGGTTACCTGGGCTTGAAAATCCTGATTTCCCTTCAGTGTTTGTGTATGCAGGGCATCCCAGGGAGTGCCAAGAAAAGCAGTGATGATTCAGCATCATGGAGCATCTTGCCTGTCCCAGGGTACATGGAGGAGAGCTATTTCAGATGTGTTTGGAAATTATTTTTACTTTTATTGTACATTTGCATATGAAAACTGAGGCTCCCTCAGGCTCACAGGTGTTTGTATTTTAAGTCTGTAGAGTAGAGCAGAGTGTCTAATTTAATAAGTTTCTATGAATAATTAGTTATCTTGAATAAATGCTTTGAAAGCAGCAGATTGCAATGTTAAGGTTTGTTTTGAAGGCAGTATGTATATACGTACTGTATATCTGGATAAAGAGAAATATTCCTTGGAAGAACAGGGCAAAGCTCTGCTGTAAGATGTGAGAGATTTGAGTGGTTTTAATCCAAACAAACAAACAAACAAACAACAACAACAAAACAACCATGAAATCGCTCTCTTTAAATCCAAAAGCCATTTTTTCCCATTTCTTTGCATGTCTCCTGGTTTACTCCTATTCTGAAATGTTTGTGACGGCAGGGAACAGAATATACTGGGAGGAATTTCTTTTTATTTCCACGCAAGGGGATTAGCCCGAGAGTTATGAAACCCAAATGCCAGGAATGCCCTGTGGAGAACACACGGCTCGGACCTCATGGCATTGATCTGCCGTCCCCGTCTGTCACAGCTGATGATTACTCCTAAGCTCCGCCGCCACAGCTGCTTGATGCCGTACGCTGTCGCTCGTTTTGCAGGGAGAGAGAGCTCTCTCTACCTCAGTGATCGTTCTGGAGCCGTTTTCCATACTGACACGCAATTTGAGTTTGCTCAGAAGAGGGCAGCAAATAGCTTTTAATCTCCTGTTTGCTCTTACTGGTGAAACGGATGCGAAGCTGGGGCCTCGGACCTGTGCAGCGTCCAAGCAGCAAACGCTGCGTTTTCAGCCTGTGGCATTTAGTTTAAGTTGTCTGTTGTTGGCAGGGAAAAGTAGGCATTGTGTTATGATGGCTGTGATGGAAACGGACTCGGTTTGGAGGGCTTAAATCCCACCCATGGTGGATGGGGGGAAAAGACCTTTTAATGTCACTGAGCAGTGAGAGCAGGGAATTTGAGTTTTCCTGTGGCGTGCGTGTTGGAGGTGGGAAGGTGTGCAGAGGACGAATGGAAGGCAGGAGCTGTGAGCGTTCCCCTGGTCTCTGTAGGGCAGAAGTGCAGAACCATGCAAAGTTACTGGGGCTGAAGTTCCATTTAGTGCTGATGTTCCTGTTGCAAACCTTAGCCCTTGGTTTGGCTGTCTCTCCTGGGATAAGCTCTGCTGGACTTTGGGGAGCTTTGTCCGCAGGCTTTTAACTCCATCACTCTCCAGCTCCCCAAGAGGTGCTGCGAGTGCCCACGCTTGTCTGTGTCTCCATTACCCCATCTTTCAACACGGTGTCAGCAAACTAATTTTTTTCCTGGGATGAGACTTTAATTCCCTCCCATTGATCATGGCCAAAGTAGAGAGCTCAAATGGAGATTTTATTCCAGAAACAATGGCTCCCTTATGTGCCGTGGCAGATCTCTGTGAATGAATCTGCTGGTGAAAGGAAGTCTTTTCCCCAGGCTGTTTTGTATCTTTCTATGGTGAATCTTCATATTTGATCAGAGGCATGGATTCCTGCAGAAAAAGAGATAAAGCATGGAGTCTTTATATTCTAGGGAGCATGAGACAACGTGGCAGTTACTGAGACTTAGGCATCATATTTAGTTTCCATAAATCACCAAATGCTGCAGCAAGACCATCTGCATTAAAACCTCTGAAGTAGGGGGCAGTTTCCCTGTGCAGCTGTATGTGGTTTTCTGCCTTTTAAGCCCTCCCTTCAAGTTCACCCCAAAGCCTCCACCCTGTGCCAAGCTGCCATCCTTGCCTCACCCTCAGCTCTGCTGTGAGCTGCTGCCTCTTTGGTCCATCCATACCCGCTCCCCCCACCCTTCCAAGTGCTGCCAACATTTCTCAAGTTGTACACAAACTACAGCTTGCTACTTTCCTGTGTTTGGTTCTTCGGTGGCCGAACTGCACTGAACACATCAAACCAATTAATTTGATGATCCAGTGCAGAAGGCTTTGAATGCAAGACACTGGTGAGCTTGTTCACTACCTCTCCTCTCATCTCTTCTGCCACTGTCTGTCAAGAACGCCATTTTAATGGCTGGTTTGGTTCCTTTCCTCTTTGCCTTAGACTTCTAAATGTAGTAGAAACAATATTGTAATTTCTGCGTTCCCTACCCCTAAGTGAAGGGGAACTCCCTCCAAGTGCTGCATCTGAACTTCAGTGTGCAAACCCCCTGTGATGTCCAGCAGTGCGTCAGGAAGACTTTTTGTATTTATCTGTTATCTGTAACTTGAAAATAACACGAGTGTGGATCTGACAGAAGGCTCTGCACTAAGTGCAGCGCAGTTTGAAATTTGTAGTGACATTCACACTTTGGGATAACAGCAGCGATCCGCAGATCTTGGAAGGAGTCCCAACACCCCTGGAGGTGCTGAGCTGCTGGTGTTGACACACGAAGAGTCCAGTTCCTGCTGGACTCCTTCCTCTCGTTGCAAAGGAAATATCAGTCAGGAGGGAACATCTCCCCTGTTGGGAAGCAGCTGTAGTACATACCAACAGGAGCTTTGGATGGGGTAAGAGAGCAGGTGAGCAGGCAGCGTCTTGCACAGGAGGGAGGGGAGCAGGCCTGGTGCTGGTG